AAGGGCCGTGATAAGTAGTTGCTGAGAAAACTGTTACGAAAATTTCCTACCATTGACCATTAATGTCAAAAAATCTAATTAATTTAACTAAGTGGATACAACAGGAAGTGGATGAGAGACAGACCTGAAATCAAATCCCACAGTATGGGACTATGTGTCAATGCTGCATGCCAAATATCAAGAGGCTGTGATAAATAGTTGCTGAGAAAACTGTTACGAAAATTTCCTACCATTGACCATTAATGTCGAAAAATCTAACTTATTTAACTAAGTGGATAAACAGGATGTGGATGAGCAACAGACCTGAAATCCAATCCCACCCCACGGTATGGGACCATGTGTCAATGCTGTATGCCAAATATCAAGAGGCTGTGATAAGTAGTTGCTGAGAAAACTGTTACGAAAATTTCCTACCATTGACCATTAATGTCGAAAAATCTAACTAATTTAACTAAGTGGATAAACAGGAAGTGGATGAGCGACAGACCTGAAATCAAATCCCACAGTATGGGACTATGTGTCAATGCTGTATGCCAAATATCAAGAGGCTGTGATAAGTAGTTGCTGAGAAAACTGTTACGAAAATATTTTCCCCGCCCCCCGCCCGACATTTACCATACTATAACCCAGATTTGCACCAGTGCAACCCGGCCAAAAAAGGAGCCACAACTGTGTAAAAAAGATTTTGCTATTTTTAGCTCCTGTGACGTAGTTTTTCATGCGAGATGACCCATGTTCAAACTTATCTGAGCAATAACCTAGACAAGCATCCTGACTAAGTTTGATGACAATTGAGTCAAAAATGTGACCACTAGAATGTTAACAAGGTTTTTCCATATTTGGGCAGTGTGACCTAATTTTTGACCCCAGGTGACCCATATTTGAACTTGACCAAGAAAACATCACAACAAACTTTCAGACCAATTTACAGGATATTTGGATCAAAACAGTAGCCACTAGAGTGTTAACAAGATTTTTCTATTTTAAGCTCCTGTGACCTAGTTTTTCATCCGAGATGACCAATGTTCAAACTCATCTGAGCAATAACCTAGACAAGCATCCTGAACAAGTTGAATGACAATTGAGTCAAAAATGTGACCACTAGAGTGTTAACAAGGTTTTTCTATTTTTAGCTCCTGTGACCTAGTTTTTCATCCAAGATGACCCATGTTCGAACTCATTTGAGCAATTACCTAGACAAGCATCCTGACCAAGTTTGATGACAATTGTAAGTTTCAATTGAATATCTCAAGCAATAATTGAGATATTTGACTTTACAAAAAAACTTGAACCAACGCAAATGCCAAGGCGACTGCAATAGCTCTCCATATTCTTCAAATAGTCAAGCTAAAAACTAGCGTAACTCAAAATGCAAGTGCGTGCAGACGTTCAAGTTGTTTGTAAACACGATGACACGGATGAGCAATTATGCAAATTTCTTGAAATATTGTGGTTTGTGTATCTGGCGCTTGACAAGAAACTTTTGATAATCTGTGACATGTGTCAGCTTTAAAAAATTTAACAGCAAATTGCCAGGCCGTTTCACCTCGCTGACCGCTTAAGATGGCCAAGTTTATGATTCGGGAAGCATTTTAGGTGACCATTGACAGCAGGTGACTATTGAACAGATGTATAAAATAGTGAGATTTTTGTTGGTTGCGCTCTGCACAAAGTTTCATAATCATTATGGTCATTATTTCTGCCGAGTAGTTTGAATTTCCTTCCACTGGTTCAAAAGATACAGACCAGACACAAAAAAGCCTATATAAGTGTATATAAATTAATTAATCCCCAGGGTGGGGCCATTTTTAATCGTAAGAAGTCCAAACTTGTGTTCTGCACAGGGTCTCAATATAAGTAATATTTCTGCCAAAAAGTTTTAATTTCTTTCTATCGGTTTAAAAGATACAGAACAGATATAAAATTTTGATATGGAAACAATATGATTAAGTGTGCACATCGCCTCATTATGGTTAACATTTCATGTTTAAAAATCTCAATCGGTAATTTTGCACCGATAAAACTTATCTTTCCCCAATAGCAGTTGATAGGTGGAAAACAGGTGACCAATAGGTGATATCAGTGTTAAATACGTTGTCATCGGTTCACAAAAACTACGGATCAAACCCCATCCAAAAGATACATCAGGGGGTTGCCAGAAGGGGGATGTGCCCCCTTCTGTTTGGGGGGTTTGAAGGGGGGCAGAGTCGCCCTCATCGCCAAGAAAATTTTGGACTTGTGAGAGGCTAAAAATGACCCCAGGTCGATCATAAGGTAACGTGTAACAAACGCTGAAAAGCCTTTGACTCTATCTCAATCCCTTGAGAAGTTGCAGCACTTTGAAATAAATTTTGATGGAAAAAATCGAGGCAAAATAGTGATTTTTGGCAATTTTGAGATGTCCCCTCGTTGCCACAGTAACAGGAAATTTAAGACTGAGTATGTCGTTACAAAGGCAATGGTCCAGTCAACATTTGTGCCAAGTTTGATTAGTATTGAAGCATTTTTCATAGTTTCATAGCAGTTTGAACTCAGGGTTCCCACTCTTAGATATTTTGAAAATTTAAGGACTTTTCCAGGACTTATCAAGGACCTTTTTTTATTTTTTAAGGACTTTTTAGAAGATAAAATTTCAAGCTATTTGATTTTTTTGTCCTTTGAATATGCTCATGGTAATGTTTAGCAACACCAATATAATACATATAGTTCATGACATAAATCTAACTCTATCTAAGAAATACATTCAGTGTCTATAAATAATGAAATGTACTTTGTGACAGCAACTGTTTTTGCAGGTTGTGTGCCATTTTCATGTAATTTTGCTGTTTTTAATGCTTTCAAGGGATCACTTTTTGACCAGATATTCATAGTACTTATTAAATAAGTTACCACACATTTGACCTCAGTCCACTTAAAGGCTTCAAAGAATGGCAAAAGCATGTCACACTGAAGGGTATAATTATGAAAACTGCCTGCAGGTGATTCCACATTCAAAATTTCACAACTTTCATGTTTAAATGTTGTATTCTGCTTAAGTCAGTGCTACGGGAGGGGGCGGTGTTCAAAAATGTATATTTGGGTATGTTTGATTACATCTTAGTGAAATTGTATATTGTATTCATGATTAAAACACAATTTTATTAGTACAACACATTATTTTTAGTATATATTGGCTATACTTTGTATTTCGTGCTACCCGTGTGGCCAATTGGCTGTGCTCTACCTTTACAATAGTTCATGTATGTAATGTAATACTGTTGTTAGTTTTATATTGATATACCTTTGGCTTTTAGCATGGTTGTGAGCAATTAGGATAAAAAACATTGCCCAAGGAAACAACCATACCTGTGAGCTTTCATCTTTTTCATGTGCTTTGAGCACAGGCCAATCAAGCAAACTTGAGGTCGATTTGTGACTGTCTTATAAGATTTTCCAAACAAAACCGCCATAGTAACCAGAAAATAAATGTTAAATCTCATAAATGTCAAAATTGGCCTCTTAAAACACTTGTAAATCGAAAAATCATCAACATTCAAGATGCGGAAATCAATATACTGTGCCAAGACCGCCATTTTGGTTGTTTGATTTACCTCCCCTTTTCCAGACTAATTCCCGTACCTTCCCGGACTTTTTTCTGTATCAACACTAATTCCCGGACTTTTCAAGGCCGGGAGCTAGTGTTTTCAAATTCACGGACATTTCCCGTTTTCCCGGACAGCGTGGGAACCCTGGAACTTGTAACAGGAGGCTTTTCAGTGAAAACTGCCATTTTTCACAATATGCTCATGGGGGAAAGGGTTAATGCAAGTGTACCACAAGACTTAGAAATTTGTACTGTTACAGGGTAACAGTATTTTTTTAACACTGTGTGGTATATTTTCTACAGAAATTAAATAAAAATGGCTGCCATTTTTTTTCTCAATTCAGTCTCAGTTTGATTTAGATCATCACAGTTATTGTTTTGGGCAATGACATAAACAACACATGGCTTTGTAAGTAACAGGTGAATATCATCCCTTGTGAAAACATTGTAACCCATGGCAAACACCTCGAGTAACAATATTTTCTTAGGGATGATATTTTTACCGTTACCAACAAACTATATACTAGCATCAAAGCTGTTTCAATTTTATAATGACTTATTTTTGATTGCTAACTTAATTTTTTAGCGGAACTTTAATCAAAAATAGGATTCACAAAAGTAATTTTAGGGCCGATTTGACTTGTTTTGAGGCCGATTTGACTAATTTTGGGGTCAATTTGACATTTTAAAAATGTTTAGAGGTCGATTTGTCTTATTTTGGGGCTGGTTTAACTTGAGGCTAATCTGACTTGAGGCCCGACTTGTTGGGGTTTTTTTGCATTTATTTTAAAATTTGCACATGAGAATTCACCAAAAGCCACCATTTAATCTGTAGATAAAATTTAGATACATGATAAGGTTCCCCAGACTACCATTGCAGTCTTTTAAAAACATGGGGGACCTCCCTTCTCTTTCAAAAACATTAGCCCCCTCCCCTTCCTACGGGCCTGTATATTGAATATAAAGATGACTTACTTCTTCTAAGAGCTATATCTGGAGAGCCTATAACTGAACTTTTACCACTCTTCTTGTCTGATACAACCAAACAGTAATCAACACTCGAATTGTCTTCCTTCTGTAAAATATTTTCACAGGATAAATTTTTTTTTAATTATCAATGAGTAGGTTATTTATTTATGTCATCCCAATCATGAAATCAGCCAACATCTATGTTAGTTTTATTAAACTGTTACAAGATTACAAGATAGTTAACAAGAGCCACTTACAAGCCTGACACACACTCTACTTTTTTATATTTCTAAAGAAAAACACTTCATGTGGGGGAGAAAACTAAAGAAAATAACACTCTTAGAAAGCATTATTTTCTTGCACAAAATATAATACAAATTTCATATCTGACACTGACTGTCAATGTCATTCAGAAGTCAGGTCACATTATTTTCAGTTTCGTTATAAATCAGTGTTTCCGCTACTCTGCGTTTCTTGCGTTTTTGACACAATAATTTCACGAATAATGCAATGAAATTTGCAAAGCACGTTTTGTGTGACGCAGTCAAAATCTACTATAATTGGATGTCTTTTTTATTAAGTTATTTCTTCTATTATAAGCTACATCCCCTTTAAATCGGCAATTATTGTTCGAGTATCTGAAATTTATTTATTTCCGGTGACTGCGTGTTTGTATGAATTGCTAACCCATTCTGTGTCATTATCGGCACATTTTCTTTCTGACTTTTAACCATTCGACAATCAGTCAAAGTATCCCAGATTTAAACGTAAACAAGCAATTGTGCATGCAGACACTTTTTTCACAATAGTAAACACACCACGAAAGAAGGTAGTAGCCAAAATATCAAAGTTTCTGCTATAAACAGATGTCTGACAGGTTAAATGTTTTAATGCAAACCAGAACTATCACTTAATGTGATTAATACCCTGTCTTATGATTAAGAATTAACATCGGCCTGAGAGGTGTATATTGGCTCTTCAACACCGGTTTTTGAGTTTTGATGCGTAGGAATTGACCATAAAGGCCGTAGGCCTGAGTGGTTAATTTTTTCGCATCAAAACGACAAAACCGGTGTTAAATAGCCGATATACACCTCTCAGGCCGATGTTATTTCGATTCTATCACGATAAAATAAGGAAGATCACTAATATTTTTTCAAGCTGAAATAACTTCGGGTGCTGATTTTCGTAAAACGCTGTTCAATTTTTCGCACCCTACTGTTGCAAAGATATAGAAATTATTAAACAAAGTAAATAATAAAACAAGAGCTGTCAGTAGGACAGCAACGCTCGACTATTCTTAGTGCTTGATAGTAAAAAAAATGCTTGTTACCTCCTCCTGTTTACAGGTCGGGGTCATGATGGTGAACAAGTGTGCAAAGTTTCAAAGCCATATGTCAATGGACTTTGAAAATATTTGAACTATTACAAAAACTTTAACGTAAATTCTAAGTCGAAAAAGGGGCATAATTCTGTCAAAATGCTTGATAGAGTTACCTCCTCCTGTTTACAGGTTGGGGTCATGATGTTGAACAAGTGTGCAAAGTTTCAAAGCCATATGTCAATGGACTTTGAAAATATTTGAACTATTACAAAAACTTTAACGTAAATTCTAAGTAGAAAAAGAGGCATAATTCTGTCAAAATGCTTGATAGAGTAACCTCCTCCTGTCTACATGTTTGGGTCATGATGGTGAACAAGTGTGCAAAGTTTCAAAGCCATATGTCTATGGACTTTGAAAATATTTGAACTATTACAAAAACTTTAACCTAAATTCTAAGTCGAAAAAAGGGGCATAATTCTGTCAAAATGCTTGATAGAGTTACCTCCTCCTGTTTACAGGTTGCGGGTCATGATGTTGAACAAGTGTGCAAAGTTTCAAAGCCATATGTCAATGGACTTTGAAAATATTTGAACTATTACAAAAACTTTAACGTAAATTCTAAGTCGAAAAAGGGGCATAATTCTGTCAAAATGCTTGATAGAGTTACCTCCTCCTGTCTACAGGTTGGGGTCATGATGGTGAACAAGTGTGCAAAGTTTCAAAGCCATATGTCAATGGACTTTGAAAATATTTGAACTATTACAAAAACTTTAACATAAGTGGTTACACCGACGCCGACGCGGACGGCGACGCTCGGGTGATTGCAATAGCTCTACTTATTCTTATCGAATAGTCGAGCTAAAAAAACATTATTTTATCAAGTTTTCAACAATAAAAACTTACGTCGTATTGTATTTACATCAGTGCCCCATTTATCATACTTATATGTATGAAATAACATCAGTTTGTTTATGACTTACAATGACGTCATTATGCTGCTTACAGATTGGCGCTGTTTTGTCAAAATATCTATTAACTGATATGGATCAAATATGTGGCGTTAGTGTATGTGAGATATTATTTCGGTATTGTATGAAAAGAAAACATTATAAGAACTGAAAATACAAGCAAATTCGTTGAATTTATATCCCCCACCGAGTACTGGTTATTATTAACACAACAACTGAAGACATAAGGCTTTATTTATATATCAGGGTTCGACATTAACGGGATCCCGGGATTCCGAGGATCCCAAAAAGTCGGGAGGAATCTCTGTGATTCCTAGCTGGGGATTCCGTTGGGATCCTTGAAAAATTGCTGTGTAAATTTTTTTAATTGTCTGAATTAATATCATTGAATCACTTAATATTCAAGAAAAGTGTTAAAAAAGACTGGCACAACTGCAAGGTTCAAGAAAGAAAAGAAAAATCCCGCCGGTAAAATCTACGCCCTTGTATCATGTACGCCAGTTTTCCTTTGTGCATTGACTGCTATCAACTCATTTGCGATATATAATGAAAAATATTTTGGCTGAAGAAACATTCTTGAATAATTTTATATCATGCATTGACTTCATAGTATTAAGTTGTGAAAATTCAAAAAAAGAAATGCAATTATCGTATAATTATTACACCAGCGGTGTGTACTTCAAATATGTGCTGATCGGCGTTGCCGGCGATAGCTACAAAGTCAACAAGTGTTTGTTGTTTTATTTTGTGCCAAAATTCGGTATTTGTGATCATTGTAAATTTTCGTAAAAGATAGTGAAAAAAAAAAAAGATTACTGATTATTTTTTTTCTCCCTGCAGTAACAGCAAAAGTATGATTAATAAACAGAATACAAATAATCCATACTTTTCAGTTTAAAATCCTTTTTGAAACTCTACAGCCTTTAAAATGCTAAAAAAATTTGTCTAACTAAAGTCTGAAGTGTTCTAAGGTCAATCAAGGTCACGCATAATTTACCAACAAAAAATAGAAAATCCTTAGGTGAAACATACACCAAATGACGTATATTTCATCTGACAGTTCTTTCAGCCAATCAGTGTTCTGAACTACTGTAGTCTAAGATGACTGCTGTATGCGGTGAGTGCCTTTTGATGTGACAGATGTCAAAACTTAAAAAAAATCAATACACACAGAGAAGAAAAGAATCGGACATTTCAGTGTAAAAATTGGAAACAATAAATTTGGATATTACACATCCTGTCATGGACTTGGAGCAACTTTTTATTTTTAAAAATGAAATCATTTGAAGGTAGATCTACCCTACTTGTAATGCATACAAAACGTAACAAAATATTTAATTTTACAACAATTCTATGGGATATTTCCTTTTAAACAAAAAAAGTGTACAGTAAGCTGAAAATCACTTATTTTTTTAAAGTGATCATAATTAAACATTTCTTTTAAATGACACGATAGTAGTAATCCATACCAGGAACTTACTGGAATATGGAGCCTAATCATTATCTGTAATTTTTTAAAAGATCTACAGATCATAAGTGGGCTCTATTTCAGTGAACCCTAGGCTATCTGGGAAAATGTTTCCCCAGTTCATACTTAACTTCAAAAGTTCAAACCCTAAGTCCCATTGCCCAGTCACTTGCATTATACCTTCATTTACAGAAACTGGTTCACAATTATCAAACAGGATTTAGCAAAATTTATATTTTCAAATCGAGCTCTTGTTCAGTGAGCTTAATATTATTCTGTTTCCGTGCATGTAAAAATGTATTAATTTATCTTAGCGGTCCAATTATATATATATATACTACTACTAGTAAACACTTTGAAACACTTTTAAAACTTTAAACAGCAATATTTCCAGAGGGCTTTTAAACTACATTTTCTGCATCTGAAACAAGGAAATATATATCCTGTATGTGGTCTTAAAAAAAAGAATTTGAATTGGGATTGCTGCACTCCCTTGTTATTCTTCGCCTTCATATTTTACTATTTTGATCTGAGGAATCCCTGACATTTAGGAGGAATCCCTGAATTAAATCTTAGGGATTCCTATGGGATCCCTTGTAAAAACAGTTAGTGTCGAACCCTGTATATTAATCATGGCATAAACTGTAATATTCTTTGAACTTGAAGCCTTGTACCTTCAAACAAGAAGAATTTTTAAGTTTTCACTATATACATATAAGGAAAATCTATGACCCCCTGGAGTGGGGCCAATTTTGACCCCAGGGCTAAAATTTGAACAATTTTGGTAGAGGACCTATAGGTTATATCATATACCAAATATCAAAGCTCTAGGCCTTGTACTTTCAGACAAGATTTTTTAATTTTGCATTTTTGAAACTCCTTTTCTGGCCCCGTGCCGTACTTATGCAACATACCGGAACCATATGAACAACATTGGCAGGGGACCACCCAAGGATCATTCATGTAAAGTTTGGTTGCTGTGCAGTCATTTGTTTCTGAGAAGATGTTGTTTAAAGAAATTGCTGACGACGCACGACGACAGACGGTGGGGGATCACAATAGCTCACCTAGATGTAAAAACATCTTAATCTCCAGACTTCATTGCCATTTTCAAGGCATCAAGAAGGGATCTCACAATTTTCAAATATTTTTAAATGTTATTGTAACAAATCATTTTAATTCTTCTTTAATAAAAACTAGAAATGTGTCCATAGGACACGGGTGCCCCCACCGCGCCAATGTTCAGTCATTCTTATGACTCTAGGTCAAATATTTTTTGAAAACTAAAAATCTTTTTACTAAGTAAAGGGCAAGAACTTTACAAATACTGAATAAATCCCCAAGCAAACCCCAAGTTGAAAATTGCAAATTTATACTAATGTAATTCAAGGGCAATAACTCTAACAAAACTGAAAAAAATCCACATGCAAAGTCCCAGGTTCATAGCTTCACAGTGAGGTGAATCATTATTCCTGTAATTTAGTGATGTTGATCATTATTCCTGTAAAGTTGCTCGATTCTAACTCAAGCACTCAAGCATCAAATAACAACATAATGAAACAGTTTTTACTAAGTCAAGGGAAATAACTCTACAAATACTGGATAAATCCACAAGCGAAACCCCAGGAACAAACTAAATATGATGAGCAACTTTCCAATAAGGTTTAATGACTCTATGTCAAATCCTTTTTGAGTTACATGCGACACATGTTGAAAATTGCAAACATTTTCTAAGTCAAGGGCAATAACTCTAAAAATACTAAATAAATCCAGACGAAAATACCCAGGTGCACAACTACACATGCTGATCAACATTCCTGTAAAGTATTATGACTCTAGGCCAAACACTTTTTGAGTTACATGCAACACAAGTTGAAAATTGCAAAATTTACTAAGTCAAGGGCAATTACTCTAAAAATACTAAAAATATCGAGACGAAAATACCCAGGTGCACAACTACACATACTGATCAACATTCCTGTAAAGTTTCATGACTCTAGGTCAAATACTTTTTGAATTACATGCGACACAAGTTGAAAATTACAAAATTTTACTAAGTCAAGGGCAATAACTCTAAAAATACTAAAAATATCCAGACGAAAATACCCAGGTGCACAACTACACATACTGATCAACATTCCTGTAAAGTTTCATGACTCTAGGTCAAATACTTTTTGAGTTACATGCGACACAAGTTGAAAATTACAAAATTTTACTAAGTCAAGGGCAATAACTCTAAAAATACTAAAAATATCCAGACGAAAATACCCAGGTGCACAACTTCACATGCTGATCAACATTCCCATAAAGTTTCGTTGAATTCCAGCCATTAGTTGCAGAGAACTACTCCGGAAACGAAATTCGGACGGACGGATGGACGGACGGACGGACGGACGGACAACGCCAAAACTATATCCCCCTCCCGATTCCATCGGCACACATACTGATCAACATTCCTGTAAAGTTTCATGACTCTAGGTCAAATACTTCTTGAGTTACATGCGACACAAGTTGAAAATTACAAAATTTTACTAAGTCAAGGGCAATAACTCTCAAAATACTAAAAATATCCAGACGAAAATACCCAGGTGCACAACTACACATGCTGATCAACATTCCCATAAAGTTTCGTTGAATTCCAGCAATTAGTTGCAGAGAACTACTCCGGAAACGAAATTCGGACGGACGGATGGACGGACGGACAACGCCAAAACTATATCCCCCTCCCGATTCCATCGGCGATCAACATTCCTGTAAAGTTTCATGACTCTAGGTCAAATACTTTTTGAGTTACATGCAACACAAGTTGAAAATTACAAAATTTTACTAAGTCAAGGGCAATAACTCTAAAAATACTAAAAATATCCAGACGAAAATACCCAGGTGCACAACTACACATACTGATCAACATTCCTGTAAAGTTTCATGACTCTAGGTCAAATACTTTTTGAGTTACATGCGACACAAGTTGAAAATTACAAAATTTTACTAAGTCAAGGGCAATAACTCTAAAAATACTAAAAATATCCAGACGAAAATACCCAGGTGCACAACTTCACATGCTGATCAACATTCCCATAAAGTTTCGTTGAATTCCAGACATTAGTTGCAGAGAACTACTCCGGAAACGAAATTCGGACGGACGGATGGACGGACAGACGGAAGGACGAACGTTCTAACAGGAGAGTAATAATGTGGCTACTCTATTGTTCTCTCTATTGTTCTTTTTAGCCACACAAAAGAAAATAGCCACATAAAAGCATTACGGAATGAATGACATCAAAGAGAAAGAACAATTACCTATTGTCCCTCTAGCCACATAATTTCTCTCCTGTGAGTGCGGACGGACGGACAACGCCAAAACTATATCCCCCTCCCGATTCCATGGGCGGGGGATAATAAATGAAAATGCTTTTTATTGTTGCTTTAAAAGGCTTTGTAAACTATATAATCGAGGGTGAAAACATAAAAGCCGCATATACAAGTAGTCCCTAACCAGTGTTTATTGGCAGTTTAACACCAGTTTTTTTCCTTCTTTGTCTATAGTAACAAAATCACGTGGAGTGATAGAATGTTGAACATTTGTGTCAGGTTATTTGAAATTCCACCAGCTAGTGATAGAGTTCTAGTGCGGACACTCTGTTTGAATCCATTTTCTTGCATTTGACCTTAAAGTAAGACCTTGACCTTTGACCAAGCCACTTAGTTTTAGGTCATGCTGTCTCATTAATATGAACATTTGTGCTAAGTTATTTGAAATTCTGCGTACAAATGACAAGAGTAACGACCCGAACAAGCATAATCTGGACGGTAGTAAGACCTTGACCTTTGACCAAACCACACAATTCTGCTTGGGACATGCCATCTCATGCCAGGTTATTTGAAATTCCACCAGCTAGTGATAGAGTTATGGTACGGACAAGCTGTTTGTTACAATTTGTTTTGAATTTGACCTTAAAGTATGACCTTGACCAAGCTACACAGTTCTTGCGCACAACATGCCATCTCATTAATTATAAATTTACAACCTGGACAGGCATAATCCTGACGGACATACACCAAGATGCCATTGTGACAACTATGTTGAGCTCTCCACAAGCGAGCTCAACAATAAGTGAGCATTTAAATAAATTTAGCCATTGTGTACCTGCAGCAATTTTTGTCCTTTATAGTGTTAATTTTTTTAGGAAGTGATGAGATATAGCACAGTATGGAGTTCAGATGTGCAGTAATATAATCATGAAATCTGTAATATGCCTAAATGATAAATTGATAGATACCACGGTTTCCAACAGTTTGTTCACCATGTCCACCACTGGTTTTGCTCCAGACTTCTTGCCTAAAGCAGTTTGCAAAGTCACCCATGCAGATTCTAACTCTTCAGGCCCAATACTGGAGTCAGCAGCGTGCTTCGTACTAGCTGTATCTACTTGATTTGCAATGGAAGATGTATCAGAACTACCAGTTATGTCTGAAACTGTTGATGCTATGCAAGAGCTCTGTTCCTGTGTTGTGAAAATTATTGGATGCAGGTTTGCACCAGCAGAGTGAGCCTTATCACCATGTGATGTATCTCCAGAAATTTCAACTGGCAGGAATAATTCCTGTAAATGTATCAATCTTTCATGCAAAGTTTGTTCATTAATTATCCTAGATTAACCATTAACCTGCTGAATTTGTAAAAATGGATTTGCCTGCTATTATTTGGAAAATCTGTCTAAAGGTTTTGAGATCTCGGTATCAAAATCCCAAAATTGAAACAGCTAACTGTGCCTGTTAGACTGCATGGACATGCAGGTTGGCCTAGCTCAATACTAGGCAAAGACAAATGAGTATTGAGTATGAGTTCAAGCAGGTTGCAGGACAAAACTGTCATTAACCATGGAACTTATTAAAATATGCACAACCTAACACATTTACGTGCTTAGTAAAATACTGATAATAAATCTCATTTAAAAAATCCGAAGTCTAACCTTAAAAATATTCCTACTATACATTCATAAATTAAAATAAACTTTCCAATTTTCCTACATAAGTAATCATGTTTGTATTACCTTGTCTAAATGACTTGTTGAGTCAATACCAGAATCTTCCATTCTCGCTGAAATTTTAAGTAAGTTTCTCATAATGGTACTGTTGTAAAATTCACCTTTTAAACTTTTAGATTTTTAGCTTGACTGTTTCAAAGAAGTGGAGCTATTATGATGACTGTGTTGTCATTGTCATCCAAAAATCTTTAATGTGGCCCATTTTAAAAGATAATTTAGAAATTGGATGAAATTAAAAGAAAAACAATAAATTAGCATTATTTGCCAAATATGTGCATTAGCATCAACATAACTGTATTTTCAAACAAGAGCCACCACCGGATTGGGGCAACGCTTTACTTGTATTACTTTTTCTAAATGGTTTTTAACAATCTATAACAAGGGCAACATTGTCGCAAAATATGCCAATCACAAAAGCTTTTGACAGAGATGTGGGCATTATAGATATGCATATAGGAGATATGCTCTGGGCAATATCCAGAAAATATCTGGATATTTTATCATCCCTAGTGACCTTGACCATGCAAATATTAACCTAAATTACATGTGTCACACTTGTAGTCATGATATTTATCATTTGTGTTATAATCCATCAATAAATGATGACTAAATGGTCCCCGTTCACAAACTTTGACCTCTCTATGTGACCTTGACTTTGGTAGCAGGGACCTTGATTATGTGCACAATGAATCTCACAATGGTAAACATTTGTGCCAAATTACATTAAAATCTCCTGATGAATGTAAAAGTTCAGCTCTGTAACAAGCATTTTTCAATGACCTCTAAGTGTGACCTTAACCTTTAACCAAGAGACCTGGTTCATGCATGTGACACTGCTTCTCATAGTGGTGAACATTTCTATGAAGTTTCATTAAAATCCCACTATGCATGGAGGATATATGCTCTGGACAAAATTTCTATTTTATCATCTTTATGACCTTGACCTTGCCTTAACCTAAATAAAATGTTTCACACCTGTAGTTATGATAAAGACCATTTGTGTTTCAATCCCTCAATAAACAAGAAATGTCAAACAACACATATGCCCTTGACTCACATTATTGGTAATTTTGTTATAGAAACTTGCCATAAAATTAATGGGTATATGGAACTTGGAAGTGTTCAATAATGGAACTAGAAATGTGTCCATATGACATGGGTGCCCCCAAACTCCACCGTTTTGTCAATCTTATGACACTAGGTCAAATATGTTTTGGGCTACATGTGCCACAAATTGAAAACTAAAAATCTTTTGCTATGTAAAGGGCAAGACTTTTACAAATACTGAATAAATCAACAAGGGAACCCCAAGGTGCATAAGTACACATGCTGACCAACATTCTTGTAAACTTTCAGGCCTACAGGTTAAATACTTTTTGAGCTATGCATGAACAAGTTGAAAATTGCAAATTTATACTACTGTAAGTCTAGGGCAATAACTCTAACAAAACTGAAAAAAAAATCCACAAGCAAAGTCCCATGTGCATAGATTCACAATGATGTTGATCATTATTCCTGTTAAGTTGGTTGATTCTAATTCAAACACTCAAGGAACAAATAACACAACATAATGAAACAGTTTTACAAAGTCAAGAGCAATAACTCTACAAAATCTGGATAAATCCACAAGCGAAACCTATGGTGCACAACTACACATGATGACCAACTTTCCTATTAAGTTTCATGACTCCAGGTTAAATACATTTTGATCTACACAAAGCATAAACTGAAAATTGCAAATCGAGTCGAGGGCAGTAACTCTGACAAAACATAAATTCACAAGCGAAACCCCAGGTGCACAACTTCACATGCTGATCAACATTCCCATGAAGTTTCATGACCCTATGTCAAATAGTTTTAGAGCTACGTGTGACACAAGTTGAACATTGCAAATTTTACTAAATCAAGAACTATAACTCTGCAAATTCTAATTATATCCACATGAACATACCCAGGTGCAGAACTACACATGCTGAGCAACATTCCTGTAAAGTTTCATGACCCTAGGTTAAATACTTTTTGAGCTACATGGGACACAAGTTTAAAATTGCAAATTTTTACTTAGTCAAGGGCAATTACTCTAACAAAACAGAATAAATCCACAAGCAAAACCTCAGACTTCAAATGCTGAGCAACATTCCTGTACGGATTCATGACTCTAGGTCAAATATTTTTTGAGTTACGTGCGACACAAGTTGAAAATTGCAAATTTTTGCTAAGCCAAGGGCAATAACTTAAAAAATACTAGATAAATCCACATCAAAATACCCAGGTGCACAACTACACATGCTGATCAACTTTCCTGTAAAGTTTCTTGACTCTTGGTCAAATTCTTTTTTAGTTAAGTGCAACACAAGTTGAAAATTGCAAATATTTACTAAGCAAGGGCAATAACTCTAAAAATACTAAATAAATCTACATGAAAATACCCAGGTACACAACTACATATGCTGATCAACATTCCTGTAAAGTTTCATGACTGTAGGTTAAACACTTTTTGAGCTATGTGTGACACAAAAGAGAACAGATTCCTCCTCAATAAGATAAATCAATGTAATACTATGAAGTTTCATGTTGACATCTCAAACACATTTTTAGTTATGCTCCACTCAGGTAAAAAATAAGTAGGAAAAATAACAAAGGGCAATAACTAAAAAAAATATGAAGGGTAGATTTATCACTCTTGTGCACTGCACACCTCCTGAGTTAGATATATCCACCTATGAAGTTTCATATTGATATTTCGAAGGCTTTTTGAGTTATGATCTTGACAAAAATTAAGCATGAAAAATAACAAAGGGTAATAACTGAAAAATAATGCAGGGTAGATTATCATTCTTGTGCGCTGCACTCCTCTTCAATGAGATCCCTTTACCTATGAAATTTCAAGTTGATACCTCTTACACTTTTTGAAGTAACCTCCAGACAAAATATTATGAAAAAGAACAAAGGGCAATAACTCAAAAATTATATAGGGAAGAGTTATCATTCTTGTGCACAGCACTCCTCAATAAGATCTATCCACCTTTGATGTTTCATGTTGACATCTCAAACACTTTTTGACTTATGCTCCACTCAGGTGAAAAATTAAGTATGAAAAATAACAAAGGGCAATAACTCAAAAATAATGAAAGGTAGAGCTATCATTCTTGTGCACTGCACACCTCCTGAGTGAGATCTATCCACCTATGAAGTTTCATGTTGATATCTCAAAGGCTTTTTGAGTTATACTCTGGACAAAAATTTTGAAAAATAACAAAGGGCAATAGCTCAAAAATTATACAGGGTAGAGTTATCATTATTGTGCACTGCACTCCTCCTCAATAAGATCTATCCACCTATGAAGTTTCAAGTTTATACCTCAAATACTTTTTGAGATATGCACCGGACAAAAATGTCAGACGGAAGGACAGCCGGACGGACGGATGACGGACGGACGCCGGATGAGAAGCGATCACAAAAGCTCACCCTGTCACTTTGTGACAGGTGAGCTAAAAAGCATCAAATTATATTTTGGCATGTATGCATGTAGCTGTTGGGCAAATGCATTTAGGAAAAACAGTTATGAGCCGTGTCATGACAAAATCAACATAGTGGGTTTGCTACCAGCATGGATCCAGACCAGCCTGCGCATCTGCGCAGTCTTATCAGGATCCATGCTGTTCGCTTACAAACCCTATTACAAGTACAGAAACTGATAGCGTACAGCATGGATCCTGATCAGACTGAGCGAATGTTCAGGCTGGTCTGGATCCATGCTGGTCGCAAACCCACCATGTTGATTTTGTCATGGTGGGGCTCAAATGAAGGCCTAATCCCCTTTCAAAAAGTGCTTCACAGACAAAGCAACTAATTTATATAACAGTATACCTAATCTTTTATCAACCTCAAACTCAAAGTTGCCCAGGAAATGCAGTAAGGTGAGGTTATTCTGACCCCCTTCTTGACTATAGACTTCCTTTCTTAACTCTTTGTCAACTTCGCCATCAGGATTCATTAATGCATATACACGTTTTAAAATTGCAGGATTGCGCCGTGGTAGGTGGACTGAGGAAATGATACGCCACTGGTGTGTGTCTTCTTTCCAGTTGTCACCCATCTGACCATTGGTTGGTTTAAACACATAAATGTCACCATCTACAACAACAAGAATATGGCTGTATAGTCCTATCCAGGATTCAGACCAGATGATTCAGGAATCAAACTACAAATCATGTTATTGTTCTAATACCAAAAGAAACTAGAACTATCACTAAATGTGATTAATACCCCCACAAGACTGCTTCGGAAATGAGGATGTTACTAGTAACAGAATACCTTGTAAAAGAATTGAAATATAGAGTTATGGTTGTGGGCAATTATAGATAGTTGTGGTTCTTATATGTTGCATTTCCTTTCAATGCGGTTGGCCATTGATGAAGTTTAATTGAATTACTCTGTAATAAGTCCAGAAAGACAAAGAAAAGGAACAAAGGGCAATAACTCTATAAATACTGAAGATAGAGTAATAGTTCTTGTGCACTGCACTTCCTCTTATTGTGCTTGACCATTGTATGAAGTTGTTTTGAATTCCAACCAGTACGTTTTAAGTTATGCTCCTGACAAGGAAAAGTATCAATGGGCAGTAACTCTGAATTTTGTCAAAATGGAGTTATGGCTTTTGTGCACTGCCCTTCCTTTTAATGTCCTTGACAACTGTATTGAATTCCAAACAGTAGTTTTCAAGTTATGCTCTGGAGAAGGAAAAGTAACAAAGGGCAATAACTCTGTAATTAGTCAAAATGGAGTTATGGTTCTTGTGCACTGCACTTTCTCTCAATGTGCTTGACCATTGTATGAAGTTATATTGAATTCAAACCATTAAGTCTTCAAGTAATGGTCTGGACAAAAAAGGCAATGGAAAAGCAACAAAGGGCAATAACTCTGTAATTACTTTAGATAGAGTTATGGTTCTTGTGCACTGCACTTCCCCTTATTGTGTTTGACAATTGTATGAAGTTGTTTTGAATTCCAACCAGTAGTTTTCAAGTTATGCCCCAGACAAGGAAAAGTAACAAAGGGCAATAACTCTGTAATTAGTCAAGATAGAGTTATGGTTCTTATGCACTGCACTTCCTCTCAATGTGCTTGACCATTGTATGAAGTTATATTGAATTCCAACCATTAGTCTTTAAGTTATGGTCCGGACAAAAAAATTAATGAAAAAGTAACAAAGGGCAATAACTCTGTAATTACTTTAGATAGAGTTATGGTTCTTGTGCACTGCACTTCCCCTTATTGTGTTTGACAATTGTATGAAGTTGTTTTGAATTCCAACCAGTTGTTTTCAAGTTTTGCCCCGGACAAGGAAAAGTAACAAAGGGCAATAACTCTGTAATTAGTCAAGATAGAGTTATGGTTCTTGTGCACTGCACTTCCTCTCAATGTGCTTGACCATTGTATGTAGTTATATTGAATTCAAACCATTAGTCTTCAAGTTATGGTCCGGACAAATAAAAAAGCAATGGAAAAGCAACAAAGGGCAATAACTCTGTAATTACTTTAGATAGAGTTATGGTTACTACTGCACTTCCCCTTATTGTGTTTGACAATTGTATGAAGTTGTTTTGAATTTCAACCAGTAGTTTTCAAGTTATACCCCGGACAAGGAAAAGTAACAAAGGGCAATAACTCTGTAATTAGTCAAAATAGTTATGGTTCTTGTGCACTGCACTTCCTCTCAATGTGCTTGACCATTGTATGTAGTTATATTGAATTCCAACCATTAGTCTTCAAGTTATGCTCAGGACAAGGAAAATGCAACGGACGTCTGGACCAACCGACCGCCCGACCAACCAACCAACCGACCGACCACCGGGTGACTCCTATATACCCCCCCCCAAACTTCGTTTTTGGGGGTATAATTACAATGTTGTTTAAAAACATTTTTAAACAAGAGCTGTCGGTAGGACAGCAACGCTGGACTATTCTTAGTGCTTGATAGTAAGAAAGCCTTGATTAAAAGGTAAAACTTTCGAAGTAAAGAAAAAGGACAAATTTTTCTTTAAATCCATATTACAGTTATAGGCCTTGGAGAAAGTCCTATTATGCTCTCAAAGAAGAGTATAAATTTCAACATGTTTCAAAGACTTATGTCAATGAACTTTGAAAATATTTGAGGTATTAAAAAAAGAACCCATAAATTCTAAGTCGAAAGATATTTGACTTAACAAAAAACTTTACCCAAAATTTCTAAGTTAAAAAGGGGCATAATTCCAGGGCCCAAGCAACTGGGCGATTTGGGCGACTAAGTCGCCTAAAGTTTCAGAACTTCGCCGAGTTTGAACATCAAAGCGAAAACGACTTCGCCGCGCTTTTTTACTGACCCATCGGCACATGTACATAAAGCTATCATACAGCGCATGTTAATTAAGTTAATCCTCGCCTCCAGGCATAAATCAAACTGAATTGGTGACGCACAGACTTTACTGCCGATAATTGACATCAATTAACACATTTAAGTGACATGATATGCAGATGCATCGGACATTATTGCCATTTAAATCGCCGATGTAAACATCACATTTTTTAAGCATAATTTTACGACACCTGTCACTATTTTATCAGCGAGTGTAAAAAGATTACACCCGGAATTGCTCTTACCATATTTGACAGTAATTAAATATACACGCAACCTCACACAGACCGTTTAAATTTACTTGCATATAAATTAATACACACAGAAGCACAAGTAAATGGTTTGATACCTGTTTGATAGTAAAAATGAAATTTGTTAAAGAACTTATTGACCCACATTAGACCAATTTTGGACAAGTCGAAAAACAGCAGTAAACTTTGTCATAAACGTCGGTACGTAAATTTATAATGCGGTAAACTACAAATTTGAAAATTTTGTTTTACAATGCCTGTTGCAATAGCGATGAATAACAATCTAAAAATGATCATTGAATATTTAATTTAATATAATCAAAATCGACAACAACTAGAATTTTAAGTGTTTCTGCAGGAAACAGACAAATTTTCATTTGTCACATATTTTCGCGATGCCGATTTTTACGATGAAAAAAATAGATACCAAAAGGAAAATTTGTTTTGTTAAAATGTGCCCAATAGCACTTAAAATGTAGTTTATTAATGAAAATTCCTTAAGGTATTGTTTACATTAATTTTGATTGCGAATTTTGCCAGTATGTGTTGTACAATGAAAATTTTCTTAAGGGAGGGGGGTGTGTGGAGTTAATCAGGAAGAAAACATTATAATGGTCTGATGATAGAGGGTTTTAGAATTTATACTTCAAATATCACTATCAATAAATATGTAAAACTCCTTTTTATAGATCAAATCAATGTGCTAAGCCCTTTTTCACTTCTCCTTATGTCGTCAAACTTCTCCCTGATAGGAGCTGAGGGAGAAGTCACTTCTCCCTAAAATTTTGGTCTAGCTAGAGCCCTGAATTCTGTCAATATTGTACGCAGAGTTATCAAACTTGTCAATCTGATGTACCTTGTTACTATAAATAAGAATTGTAAGTTTCAATTGAATATCTCAAGTAATAATTGAGATATTTGCATTTACAAAAAACTTTAACCAACGCAGACGCGGACGCTGACGCTGGGGGGACTACAATAGCTCTCATATTCTTCGAATAGTCGAGCTAAAAAGGGGCATAATTCTATCACAAGAGGGCCATGATGGCCCTGAGGTCGCTCACCTGTATATTGCCCCCCCCCGGGCCAATTTTTACCCAAGGGCTTTTATTTGAACAATCTTGGTAGACACCCATAAGAAAATGTTTCATGCTAAACATCTAAGTTCTAGCTCATTGGGTTTTTTAAAAGAAGATTTTTTAAGTTTTTACTATACACATAAAGTTAAAAACAATGACACCCCTGGGGCAGGGCCAGTTTTGACCCCCGGGCTTTTATTTGAACAAACTTTGTAGATATTTACTTAAAGATGTTTCATGTATAATATCTAAACTCAAGCTATTTGGGTTTTTTCAAAGAAGATTTTTAAGTTTTTGCTATATACATATAAGGAAAATCAATGAACCCCGGGGCGGGGCCAGTTTTAACCCCCAGGGCTTTTATTTGAACATACTTGGTAGACACCCATTAGAACATGTTTCATGCTAAATATCTTAGCTCTAGCTCTTTGAGTTCTTTAAAAGAAGATTTTTTAAGTTTTTACTATATGCATATAGGGAAAATCTATGACCCACTGGGACGGGGCAAATTTTGACCCAAGGGCTTTTATTTGAACAAACTTGGTAGACATTCACTAGAAGATGTTTCATGCCAAATATCTAAGCTCTAGCTCTTACGGTTCTTTAAAAGAAGATTTTTTAAGTTTTTACTATATGCATATAGGGAAAATCAATGACCCCCCGGGACGGGGCCAATTTTGACCACAGGGCTTTTATTTAAACAAACTTGGTAGACACTCACTAGAAGATATTTCATGTCAAATATCTTAGCTCTAGCTCTTTGGGTTCTTTAAAAGAAGATTTTTTCAGTTTTTACTATATGCATATAGGGAAAATCTATGACCCCCTGGGGCAGGGCCAATTTTGACCTCAGGGCTTTTATTTGAACAAACTTGGTAGACACTCATTAGAAGATGTTTCATGCTAAATATCTTAGCTCTAGCTCTTTGGGTTCTTTAACAGAAGAGTTTTTAAGTTTATACTATATGCATATAGGGAAAATCAATGACCCCCTGAGGCAGGGCCAATTTTGACCCCAGGGCTTTTATTTGAACAAACTTGGTAGACATTTACTAGAAGATGTTTCATGCCAAATATCTAAGCTCTAGCTTTTACAGTTCTTTAAAAGAAGATTTTTTAAGTTTTTACTATATGCATATAGGGAAAATCAATGACCCCCCGGGCCGGGGCCAATTTTGACCCCAGGGCTATTATTTGAACAAACTTGGTAGACACTCACTAGAAGATGTTTCATGCCAAATATCTTAGCTCTAGCTCTTTGGGTTCTTTAAAAGAAGATTTTTTAAGTTTTTACTATATGCATATAGGGAAAATCAATGACCCCCTGGGGCGGGGCCAATTTTGACCCTAGGGCTTTTATTTGAACAAACTTGGTAGACACTCATTAGAAGATGTTTCATGCTAAATATC